AAATCTGAGGAAATATCATAGCCCACGCCGTGATATCCACCCCCCCTACTCATCACCCCCCTCTTTGCCGCCACCGATCCTCTCAGGCCCCACCTGACGAACGAACAACACACACACATACCCATAGGGAGGTCGTTGGGAGGAGGACTGGCTATGGGTATGGGTGCGGGTTGTCGGACCCTGGGGAACGCTCCCGTTCGAGCGGGGACCCCCATCCGACAACACGCACCCATATGAAGGGGCCCTGGGACACACAAATAAATACACACAAATACAAATATCCCTCATATTTTCCCATATTTTCTGGGTTTTTGTCTTCCCCCCCACTTCCCATATTTATTTTCTTGGGGATCGACGATTAATTGTGTCTGTGTGTTTTTTCCCCTCCTGACCATAGCCCTCTCCGATCCCCCTGTGGGTCTGGGTGCGTGCTGCTGGTTCGCCGCCACCCTTGGAGCTGCCGGGCACCGAGCAGAGCCCGAGCCCCGCGCCCAGCTCGCAGACGCGCCGGCCCGCGACCAGCCACGGGCGCGCGAGGAGCAGGTCGCTCACGGGAGGCCCAGGGGCGGGCACCGCGGCCCAGGACGGCTTACCAGCCTCGAGCGTATCCCTATCCCTGAGATTGACACGCCAAAAGGCGATATGACAATCTTAGGGATCCGCCCTGAAAAAATAAGGGAATCCCTAAGCTTGGCATCGTGATGAGGAGGTGCCCAGCATAGGGATAGGGATATGTTCCAGGCTGGTAAACGACCGCCGCTCCGACAGAAGTGGGAGCGGCGGGCTTCGGGCCGTTGTCGGCCCTCGCTGGGTGCAAGGAAAGGCGCGACAGCAACACCAACAGACCGAGGGAAGATGCGAGGATGGCCAGGGGGGTCTCCCTGGTGCTGTGGCCCCCCCCGTTTCGCTCAAGACATCCCCAGCCTCCATCCAGCTCGGGGAGGCATCGCGGACCTCCTCGCTGGAGGTGGGCACCCCGGGGGTGTTGGTGACCTCGCGGGGCCTCGGGACCGTCAACAACCGTCTCGGGAAAAAAAGCCGGCCCCAGGATATCTGCGGCACGAGCGGCGAACCTATCCGTATCCCCGTCGTCGCGGTCCGGATTCTGGGGCGCGATCCCGCGCGGAAGAGCCACGAGAAGACTACCCGTATCCGCGGCGTTGCGGCCCAAGAGACGGCCCGCGAGGCCGCGGATACGGACATGTCTCAAGGGGCCCTGGGACATACACACACATAAATACACACAAATAACAGGATTCCCAAGATTTTTCCATATGTTCTGGGTTTTTGTCTTCCCCCCCACTTCCAAAAGTTTCCCATATGTTCTGGGGATTCGTCGGTTTATTGTGTCTGTGTGTTTTTGTTCCCTCCTGAATGTCTTTCGCCCACACACCAGTGTACCAAGATCGGAGGCTGCCTCCACCGAGGGCGTATGAGGAACAAGCCTGGAGGCATCGCGAGGCAACTTGAAGCCCACTTCACGTCGGGTCCACGTCGGATGTACAGTCAACACGCGGAGCAAGGACGCACGATAAGGATGCAAGGGCCTTGGAAAGTCCGCCCCAAGGTACCCCAAGGGGCTGGCCAGCGAAAGTTGCCAGGGATGGACCGAAGGGGCAAGGATGCAAGGGTAACCTAGGACAAATCCCTCACTCATCATTACTCCGCGGGTTGACTGTACGTCTGATGTACGTCGGGTGTGCGTCGGGGTATCGCCGCGCGGACGTCGACCCGTAGCCTGCGGAGCGGGCATGTGGACCAGATGATACGCGTCGCGCGAGGCCTCCAGGATCCTCCTCATGGTGATTGCGATCTCGGCTGCGGTGACATTAATAAGCGACCACACGTAAAGCTTGCCCCACGAAGTCACATCTCAATTCAGCCAACCAAAATTCAGGTCACCGCAGAAGAGAGTAACCAACCGACTGAAACAGCAAACCAGACAGAGGCCATCGGAGAAATGGCTGCTTCTTTTATGGGTCGCTGGCTGCGGCCTGGTGCCAGCCTCGAAAGCACCGACGACAAACCGAGGAGCTGGAAATCTTTGCACAATCGTCCACTTCCCGGCGGGGCCGAGACCCACTCCTAACATTTCTTCATCGCTGGGTCGGTCGCATTACTACAGCACCATCGTCTAGGATAATCTTCCCCTGGTGAAGAAACTTGCACTGAACGACTTGGCGAATAGTACTAAGGCGGTTCCTATCTGTCTGCTTGCGCAGTGGGAAACTGACCGATCAGGCAAAACCATCATCTCGTAATCTACGCGGTGGCTCGTCGGTTACGCAGGCGGCCCACGCACGACCCCCGCCCAGCTGACCACCAGCAGGTTTACGAAATTGTGGTTAAGAAATAGAAGGACGAACGACCAAAAAAAACATAAGCTTTCGAAGCTCCCCGCGGGTTTCGTGGATCAGCACTGGAGCCCGCTGGCGGCGTCGGCCATGCCCTGCTACAGGCGGATTTTGAAGGAAGAGCGAAAATAGTCAAAGCATCTTCTAGAATAATAAGAGTCGTAGAACATCGTCCGCATATAATCTTGTTTACATTTTTTGATTTTTTCTTCTGGAGAGGGACACGCCCTACTTAAGACCAATCCCGAAATTCGAAGACACCACCCCTGGCGATGGTGCCGGCGCCAACTTTCAGGCCTCCGGGCTCAGCACCAGCGCGCCCGCCCACAGCTGCAGCCCCACCCTCGCCAGCCGCGAGGAGGCGAGGTGGCGGAACTCCACGCCGGCGCCGACGGCCAGAGGAGGGCCAACGTGGAGGCCAACGGCGCTCCCCCCGCCGGGGCCCGGAATCGCCCACTCCCTCCTTGGAAGGAGAAACAACGGCATAGATAGAATCCAAAAGCCTTAATGAAAATTTGAATTTTGGAATTTCATTTTTTCCTGCAACGGCTGCTGCAGCCGTTGCAGAATGATAATTAGACTGTTGGCGCTCCGCGCGGAGCACCAAAAACTTATGTTTCTGCCATTTGTTCTTCTTCGGAGTCCCGGAGCGGTGCGGTGACAGACCGTGCGGTGACCTCGAAATCCCCCAGGACCTCACCGCACGGTCCGTCACCGCACGGTCTGGGGACACCAAGAGGCCCCTGTCGCCCGAGACGTCCTCGGAGAGGGCCTCGAGTCCCAAAACCGTGCGGTGACCCCGAATCCCCGCCGACTCACTGCACGGTGTGGTCACCACCCCGTTTCGGGACCTAAAACAGGGCCAGGATCGGGATAAATCGCTCCAGAGCGTTCCGGAGCGCTCTCAGAGCGTTCCGGAACGCTCTGGGGCGGCCGCGGCGCCCAATACATCCTCCAAACCCGCCGATTCTCAGAGATTTCGAGTTATCCCGATCCGATTTTGTCCCGATCTTCGCGTCGTTTTAGGACCCCCGATCTTCTTTGACCCCCGGACAGCTCCCGGGAGGCCTTCGCGAGAACGGGGCAGGGCTGTGAGGCACGATGCAGAGGCCAGGGCGCCGCATGAGGCCGGACGTGGCCGGGGACCAGGCCGAGTGAGAAGCTGGACTAAGCCAGATCGGGCGGGATCAAAACGGACTCATCAGGACTACAGGGCAGTTTTTAACACATCGGATTTGTTTTAAAACATTGGAATTGTTTTATACATGAGTAATGTATGAATACATTTATGCATAAGCTCATCCTTGTATTCACTAATCAACCCTGTATCTTTAATACATGGTCCACACGCGGAGCATGTATAAAAAGCGGCGCTGTATTCTGGGGTGGGCCAGATCTCGACAACGGACATACCAGCGCCGAGGCTGATTTGACCTCCCAAGACTTGCATCCTGCCGGGTCCGGCCATGACGACAAGAGGCCCCCAGGAGGCATAAGCAATCAATCTGACACACTGGTGAGGGCCGGCGTTGTCTCGAATGGTCCGTCTCGGAGCTCTGTTGTTGCTTCTCGGGTCGTTGACTCGGGCCTCTGGCGGCTGCTCGGGACGACCCGGTCCCCCCCCCCCGAAATGCGTTCGGAGAGGCGCAGCTGCTGGAAAGCATCCTTGGGCGCGAGCTGAGGGGGGGGCGACACATGGGGGGCGGGAGGAAATCGCCCGCTTCGGGCCCCAGAGGCCCCCCTTGGGGCCCTGAAGGGCTCCCCCTGGGGGCCCTATGAGGGCCCCTTCCTGCAACCCTCGCCGCCTCCCCCCATTCATCCATCACCCCGCCATCACGCGTCCTCCGACATCCCGAGGCTGTGGGAACCCTCCGGGAACCGAAGAAAAACTTCTCGAAGACCTCGGCCTCGGTCCGCCTCTGACATCCGCCGACCTGCTCGCTTCCATCCGCGGCCCCAGGTGTCCCGACCGCTTCCCGGGAGCTGGTCGCCACGCCTCTCCCTGTGCCTAGGCGAGGTGGTGCTAAGGTGCACGCGGCTGCTGCGGTGTACGGAGGCACTGTGATGTACGCGGGTACACAGGCGGCGCCATATGGCGGGAAGTTCTTCCTGCTCGACCAGCCTTTCTGGTAGGTCCTGGGCCCCCGCAGCAGAGCAAAGGCCAACACCTGGGAACTACAAACTGCCAGATTGAGCAAACGGCATCGTCGGAGATCTGGGCCTGCTGGCGGCGCGCACGGGGAGGGCGGAAGGCTTCTCAGAAGGAGGCTGCTCTTGGCGGCGCGCAAGAAAAGAGTGGGGGGGCGGGGGGACGGCTTCCTACAAGGAGGCTGCTCCGTAGATGGCGCCGGCCTTGCATCTACAAGGCCCGCGTCTTCTGAGAAGCCTTCCCTCTTCCCCTCGCCCCCCTTTGCGCGTGGCGTCGGTTTTCGGGCCATCGTTCGGGCCGCAAGCGGCGGTTTGGGACGATCCAGGCACCCCCGGAACGCGCTCGGCAAGCGCAGGTGCCTGAGAACGTCGAACCGCCGAGAACCAACGAACACCGCCGAAAACTCCTGGGACACCGTCGAAAGCACCCCCCACTGCGCGACGGCCGATGCTTCTGAAGAGCCCTCCCCCCCCCCAAAACACCCCTATATACCCCCCCCCCTGTGCGCACCGCCAGGTCTGGGCCCCCCCAGCGGGGAGGGCCGCCGCTGTGCCTCGGCTGGCTCCCCCTCCGCGCTGAGGCCGGCGGTGGGCTCGGGGAGCGCCGCCCCGGCGGGGCGTCCGCTGCGCTGGACGACGAGATCCCCGTCCTCGTCCTCCACCACCTGGGGAGGGAGAGCAGATCCGCACGCAGTGCAGGCCAGTCCACACGAAGCCCTCCCCAAGAAACCCAACCCTGAGACCCCAGGACGCCCATCGATGTTGGGCGTGGGAGCGTCACGCTTTCCATGGCGAAGCTATCGACACCCAAAAGAAACAAGGCACCCTGGAGGCAAGCAGGGTGTTTCTTGGCATGGGCCTCCACTATAGCCAGAAAAAAGAATCGCTGGACGCGAATTTTTTGGGGTGGGCGACCAATGGGGGAGCAGCGAGGGCTCCAGAGCAAGGGGCCCTCTAGGGCCCCTGAAGGGATCATTCAGGGCCTCAAAGGGGGCCTTCAGGGCCAGAGAAAAGCACATTTCCCCCCCCCACACCCCGGCTATCGCCCCCCATTCATTCGCGCCCAGAATCGGGGGTCCGCCGGGCTTCCCTGAGAATCTACACAATCGTCAGCGCTGCGGGGGCCACCCATGACAGCACAACCCTGCACGTGGTCGCACAGAGCTTACGGAGGCCAGCGTGCGGGAGGAAGGGCCCAGGCCCATGTCGGCGATCCATGGGCCATTGGGTTTGCTTGCTTCCGCCAGTCAGTCCTCCCTTTGCCCTTTCTTGCCATCGCTCGGACGTCCATTCCCCGGGCAGGTTTCGGTGTCGTGCGTATATATTTTTTCGCAAGATGACCCAACAGGCTCCTTGATGGGCCTCGCTAAGAGAAAATGCACAAGTCCGAGCGACGCCAACAAACTCTTGGAGGCACCAGAGGCGCCGCCGAGGGGGGGAGCCCACCGTACATCCGAGAGATCAGCGCGGAAGGTCCGAAAGTTCCTGCAATCACAACTGAGAGTAAGCTTGGCGCGGTGATGATGCAAGTGGACGCCCATGTTGAAGCTTTTTCGTGCGCCGCGGGCCATCGAATGCAATCAAAGATAAACCAAAGAGGCACGGATGAGATGGTCCCCTTGGGTAGGTTACCCATCCGTGCCATCAATCTCGACTGTGCAGGCTTTCCCTAAACACATCGGTCGTAAGTGTTCAATACGGAATTTGACGAACGCCCAGTGAAGGACGTCGGGCTCCCATCGTGCCCCCCCAGGCCCCCCATCGCCCACCAGACCCCACGTCGTGGCCCCCCTATCGTGCACCGTGCACACATCTGGAGGAGGTAAAACCTGCAGAGACTTACACTTTTGGACCTCCGCGCGGATCTCTTGGGTCTGCGCTGGGCCCCCGCCCCTGGCGCGCGGAGCGCGCCAGGGGCGGCGCCGGAGGCGCCGCCTGGGAGGCCCACGCGCCGGAACCGAGACATCCGCGCGGAGCGTCCGAGCAAAATGTTCTTCGTGTCTTCCTCCAACAAGGAAGGGGAACTGGGACACACAAATCAATAAACACAAATAACCAGATTCCCCATACTTTCTCATATCTTCTGGGTTTTTGCCTTCCCCCCCACTTCCCATATTTTCCCGTATCTTCCTGGGGATCGGCGACAAATTGTGTCTGTGTGTTTTTTCCTCCTGAAACAAGAGTGTCGTTCGAGCACAGCGGGTCCTACGCACGATGGCCGAGTGGCATCGCGCAGTGGCTCACGCGGGCCGCCAGAGCGGCACACTGCAGCGGGAGTGAACACTTTTTTCCCGGAAAGGGCGCGGGCCCAGGGTTCTCTTTTAGTAGGTTAACCCCCCGGCCCCCCTGCGACTTGGGCCAGCGAAATTATTCTGCGATAAATTTCGTGCGGGAAGAGGGCCGGCGAAATTATTTTTGAGGATGTCTCGAGCGAAACGCTTGTTTTTTCAGAATTTGTTGAGGATGTCTCGAGCGAAACGTTGGTTTTGCAGAGTTGGGGATGTCTCGAGCGAAACGCTTGTTTTCATAATTTTTGGAGGATGTCTCGAGCGAAGCGCTGGTTTTGCAGAGCCGACCGCGACGCGGAAAAGCGCCCCGCGCGCAGGAATTCCGATGATGTTTCGCGCGTGCCGCGTCCCGCGCGCAGCGATTTCGAGGATATCTCGACTAATTCGTTTGTTTTGCCAGGATTTCCGTGATTTCTGAGGATGTCTCGAGCGAAACGGTTGTGTTTCAGAATTGGTTGAGGATGTCTCGAGCGAAACGCTGGTTTGCAGAGTTGGAAGATCCCTCGAGCGAAACGCTTGTTTTTCAGAATTTGTTGAGGATGTCTCGAGCGAAACTCTGGTTTTGCAGAGTTGGGGTATCTAACATGGCGTCGGGCCCAACGCCGAATTACAAGGAAACGCACGGGGGGCCGAAAAGCGCTACCCGAACACATGTCCCAATACAGAAAAGTTATGGTTTCTTGCTCTGAACGGGGTTGCGCTTTGGGGGCCTCTCCAGGGAAGACGTAGCGAGGATGTCTCGAGCGGGAGCGCGAATTCAGCGTATCCAGGTCACGCAGGGGGGTATCTAACATGGCTGTCCCGAGCTGGAACCACGTGTTTTTCATGCTCAGGCCACCCAGGGAGATCTCTAACATGATTGTCCCGAGCTGGAACCACGTGTTTTTACGTGTCCAGGCCACCCAGGGGGTATCTCTCATGGTTGTCCCGAGCTGGCACCGTGTTTTTACGTGTCCAGGCCACCACACGACGCTTGTCCCCAGCACGTTCTGTAGCGCGTCCCCTTGGCACGTCCCGCGGTGCGTCCCCGTGGCACGTCCCCTGGCACGTCGCCTGGCGCGTCCCTTGGAACGTTCCGCGGCGCGTCTTCCTGGCATGTTTCCTTGTCAATTAGCTCTGGGGCAGCTACTACGTGGACTATGTGCTCAGGCAGCTCGAGCTTAAGATCCAGATCAGTTCGGTTAGGACTCGGATGCAAAGGAGGACTCGATCCACGAGGCTATAGAGCACAATCGCGGCATGGCACATCGCAGTTCAGCACGGCGCAGCACAGCACAGCCTTCGGCACGGTACATCAAGATCGATACACTCACTCAGCATTGCAACCTGGCACGTTCTTTGGCACGTTCCGTGGCGCGTCCTGTGGCGATTCCCCCTGGCACGTCGCGCGGCGCGTCCCCTGGCACGTCCCGTGGCATGTCCGTTGGCACGTTCCGTAGCGCGTCCCCTTCGCACGTCCCGCGGTGCGTCCCCATGGCACGTTCCCTGGCACGTCGCCTGGCGCTTCCCTCGGAACTTTTGGCGGCGCGTCTTCTTAGCATGCCCCCCCGTGAATTAGCTCTTGGGCAGCTACTATGTGCTCAGGCAGCTCGAGCTTAAGATCGAGATCAGTTCGGTCAGGACTCGGATGCAAAGGAGGACTCGATCCACAACGCTATAGAGCACAATCGTCACGTGGCACATCGCAATTCGGCACGGCGCAGCACAGCACTGCCTTCGGCACGGTACATCAAGATCGATACATTCAGCATTGCAACTTTGCAACTTCTTTGGCACGTTCCGTGGCGTGTCCTGTGGCGAGTCCACCTGGCACCTCGCTTGGTGCGTACCTTGGCACGTCCAGTGGCACGTCCATTGTCACGTTCCGTAGCGCGTCCCCTTGGCACGTCCCGCGGTGCGTCCCCATGGCACGTCCCCTGGTACGTCGCCTGACGCGTCCCTTGGCACGTCCAGTGGCACGTCCATTGTCACGTTCCGTTGCGCGTCCCCTTGGCACGTCCCGCGGTGCGTCCCCATGGCACGTCCCCTGGTACGTCGCCTGACGCGTCCCTTGGAACTTTCGGCGGCGCGTCTTCCTAGCATGCCCCCCCGTGAATTAGCTCTTGGGCAGCTACTATGTGCTCAGGCAGCTCGAGCTTAAGATCGAGATCAGTTCGGTCAGGACTCGGATGCAAAGGAGGACTCGATCCACAACGCTATAGAGCACAATTGTCACGTGGCACATCGCAATTCAGCACGGCGCAGCACAGCACAGCCCTCGGCACGGTACATCAAGATCGATACACTAAGCATTGCATTTGCCCGTCACCCAATCAAGTGTCTTTGAAACGTTGCCAAGTCTTACATTTCCATATTCCTTTCCGGGTTCGTGGGTCGATCATGTTTTACCATCCGTAGGGGGGCCCAGCGGCGAGAACGGGTGACAACAGAGCGCAGAGAAGCCGGAAACGAGGAAGGAGGGGGAGGAGGAGGAGGCGGGGAAACAAGAAAGCACAGCAGCGCGCCCCGGCGAGCGCGAGGGGCCAGCGGCAGCCCAAAGCGGCGGCCGCGCAGTGGGAGTGAAAACACGTCCACGCGACACGGTACGCGGACAACTCGCGCTGAAGTGTCCCGCAGAAA